GGAAGACTGACATGGCTTCTTTAGCAGGAAAATGGCCATACCTGGAGACACTCATCTCATGTCTATAGTAAGCTTTAGGCTTTATTCAAATTACATGGCAGAGTATAATAATACCTTCCATTCAATGGAAACTCTTTGTTTACCAGGAGATGATTTCTCTGTAATAACAGTAACTTCAGGGGATCCAGTCAGTTCTAAAACAAAAAAAAACTGCGTAAATGGATTTGATTAGGTCCCTGTTCAAATGTTTTTTGTTTTTCTTGCCTTCAACTAAATGAAAGTCTGGATTTAGAAATAACTTTCTTGTACTGTATAACAAAGTGAACTTATGAGGAGAGAATCCAGGATCAGTGTAAAACACCAAGAGCTTCTAATGGTTCACAGGTTCTCTTTAAAGGTGACTATGTCAAGAGGAAGTACAAGGACTGTCAAAGATATCCTCTTTTGGAAATCCTAGATGCCTGGCTGTGAAACTTCAGCTGTTTTTAGTTACAGACCTGGAACAAATATTCTATAAACATGCCCCAAAATAATTTCAGAATTTACAGTATTAGAATGACAGCAAGGGAACTGTAATTTACAAACAGAGAGGTCAGTGATGGCAGTATAGCTCCATTAATTCATTTTTTTTTGTTTTACTCTTGAAAAAAAATCATTGCCAATGTCTACGCTCCCTCTGCTCAGTATGCCCTTAAAGGCTGGAGTTCTGCTTTAAACAAGCTATACATTAATAATTTTTTTTTCTATTTAACTGCGAATTGAACGAAACGCTGTGCTATTGTGTTCTGAAAGTAGGGAGCCTTCCCCATCATCAGAACACTCTAATCAGACTTGCTGGCTATAGCCAGGAAAAACCCAACAGAAGTTGAATGGTAGATGGACTTTTGCACAACCAGCCTGTCCATACATTGAAATTGAGCCAGTCCCTGCTGAACCAGCCGAATTTCGGTCCAAGTATAGCCTCCTTAAGAATGCCTGATACATTTTTCTTTGCTAAGATTATATCAGAAGCAACAGAGAAGCAGAGAAAATATGTACATTTCAACAATTCAGCTCATTGGAAACTAATTCTCTGTTGCAGAAAACAGTAACATAAAATACAGGTGTATCTCAATAAATTAGAATATCATCAAAACATTCATTTATTTCAGAAATTAAATTCAAAAAGTGAAACTCATATATTATATAGATTCATTACACATAGAGTGATATATTTTCAGCATTTCTTTCTTTTAATTTTGATGATTATGGCTTACAGCTAGTGAAAATCCAAAATTCAGTATCTCAGAAAATTTGAATATTGCATAAGACCAATAAAAAAAAAGGATTTTTTAATACAAAAATGTTGGCTTACTGAAAAATATGTCCAGGTACAGTATAATATGCACACAATGTTTACTCAGGGCTCCTTTTGCATATGAATGACTGCATCAATGCGGCATGGCATGGAGGTGATCAGCCTGTGGCACTGCTGAGGTGTTATGGAAGCCCAGGTTGCTTTGATAGCAGTTTTCAGCTCTTCTGCATTGTTGGGTCTCATGTCTCTCATCTTCCTCTTGACAATACCCCACTGATTCTCTATGGGGTTTAGGTCAGGCGAGTTTGCTGGCCAATCAAGCACATAGATACCATGATCATTAAACCAGGTGTTGGTACTTTTGGCAGTGTGGGCAGGTGCCAAGTCCTGCTGGAAAATTAAATCCGCATCTTCATAAAGCTGATCAGCAGAGGGAAGCATGATGTGCTCTAGAATTTCCTGGTAGACGGCTGCACTGACTTTGGACTTAATGAAGCACAGTGGACCAACACCAGCAGATGACATGGCTCCCCAAATCAACACAGACTGTGGAAACTTCACACTGGATTTGGATTCTGATATTCTAATTTTCTGAGATACTGAATTTTCGGTTTTCATTAGCTGTAAGCCATAATCATCAAAATTAAAACAAAGAAATGCTTGAAAGATATCACTCGGTGTACAATGAATCTATATCAAATATGAGTTTCACTATTTGAATTGAATTACTATAACAAATGACCTTTTTGACGATATTCTAATTTATTGAGATGCACCTGTAGATGATTGCACAGACTTACCATGTGGAATTGATTTCTCTTGTGTCCATCTGCAGTGAAAACATGACTCATTTAAACATCTTTGCTGAAATACAAATGGCTTTGATGTTTCTGGCAGTGACACGTTGGTTGAGTGACCCGTTACATTAATCTGAAAAATGGAAATATCTAAGTGTTTTAAGTCACATACTGCATATATCTCCACTGAGAATTCACTCCAGTGAGCAAGTATTTTGAGGAACTGTTACAACTAAAACTCAAGTTATATATATACAGTAAAGTATATTTGTTATATGCATCCACTGGATGGGCTGAATATGGAAAGGGTGTGCCCCTCCCACAACAGAAGCCAGGGGGAAGTTGGTTCTGCAGGGAGGTGGTATGTGCTGATAGGATCAGAAATTAGAAGGCAAAGTCTCATTGCAACATCAACTCACCTGCTGCAGGGATTGCTCTGGATGTGCTTTCTGCCGCTTATGGCTGTTGTGGATGGCTCTACTCTGAATTTAAAAACATGATGCTATGACTCTTGTGTGATAGTGTCTTCGGGATGAGAGAAAACGGCCATGCCGAAGCCCGGTACAAAGGCGTGGTACGGACACAAGGTGCTACACTACCCCTAGAGGTCACCTCATATATAGCGACAGTGCTGCTGATCTCCTCTAACCTGTCGCAATCTCTGTAGATACTGGCAATCAGCTACCAGAACAGAAAGTTTCCCATCACAAAAATTTTATTTGTAGCTCTTAAATGAGATTTTGGACAGCCAAGGGCATTAGTTGCAACCCCCCCCCCCCCCCCTGTCGCAATCGTGCTTCTGTGAAAGCTTTCAAACATATGTAACCAGGTGCTTCTTAGCTAGAGACAGATAGTGATTAGGGCACTGTGCAGCAATGCACCCAATGGACTTCAGCTGAATGGTTAACAATATCTTGCCTCCTTCCACCAGGGGGAACTGACAAGCAGAAGAAGCTCAAGATACTTGATGGTTGGCAGAATTGAATCATGGGAAATTAAGTTCAGGAAAGAAACTTTAAAATGGCAGACTATGGATGATTAGACTACAATTCCCAATGTGAGCAGGGTATAAAGAGAGTGAGGTAGAGCTGTATTTTCACAGGCTAAATACTGAGGGATTCTCTCTTTGCTGTGGGGAGACTGAGGTGTACACATTGCATTGTGTGCACATCAACCTGCTACAAATCTGGGGCCATGTGCTGAGGACACTGGAGTCATTCCAGGCAAATTTAGAATTGAGCTGATATCTAAACAGCAGGACCCCTGTTGCTGTACTGTTGGGACTGAGGAGGACACTGCTGCCATTAACCTGTTGCTACTAGCAGAGACTGAGCACAGAGGGACTGGCCATCTAACTAGCAGAATTATTTACTGCATACAGACTTTACTGGGACTGTACTCATGTGCACCATCTTAAGGTCTGGGCCCCAACGCTAGTTGGATTAAGAACTTGGGTTGAAAACTGCTCACTCATCTACTTCACAAGACCTTTGCCTATTGTCCATAGCAAGAAGTTTCTCTTTAGGGAGTTTTAAATTTAGTCGCTGACATTTATAAACAGTTGCACTCTAAAGAGGATATAGCCTACTGTTTACAAAGCAGTTACCGCAGCATTGATTATCATTGCTATTACTGTTTCCTAATGCTATTACTTATTACTGATTTTGTTGATTACCAGGTTTACTCTAATTTAGCTGCAGAGGGTGCCATTCTATGGTTGCTATAGCCTTGTGAAAATATGTCTAGTGAGTGGTGAGTGATCTATTCCTTTACTTATTCATTCATTCATGTACATACTGTAATTTACTGCAACCCAGGACAATATATTGGATTCCTTTACTGCTAACAAGTCTGATCTTTGCTATTTGGTACAGAACCTTAGTTGTGTGCAGGGTATCTGTATTTGTGCTCCCAGTAGCAGTGTAGTATCAATTTGCTTAACTTGCTGTGTCACAGGGGCTGGGGTTATTCTCAGAAAGGAGGCAGAAGAACAGAGAACCCAATCTACCAAGTGGCTCCTGTGGGGGGTAGTGCTACACATATGTTCAGATGCTATCTGTGGGAATGTGTTCCCCTCTAGCCAAAAGAGCCTTGGTGGGGTGAGGTACTGATGTTGGGCAAGAACATCTGGCTTGTAATTATCATCTAATACAGTTGTTAATTAGGGTTGAGGTTAGCACTCCAAATTCATCAAACCATGTCTTTATTCCCCTGGTTATGTGCACAGGTACTTAAAGAGTAACTCCACTTTTTTTGAACAAAAAAAAAACCATTTCCTTCTGAGTGATCTATGTACTGTATATTGCAAGGATTGTTAACAAACTTTGTTGCACATTCCTACTCTTTTTCTGAAAAAATAGCTGTTTTTCTGTGTCCATGTGCAGAGTGAATCTGTTTGGGAGTGATTTTATAATTATCAATTAGCTGCTGCATCTGCAGAGCTCTAATGTGGGAAGTAGCAAGGTCTGCATGCCTTTAGACATGATTTGCCTTTGAGAGTATCTCACCAAAAATTAAATTTTTGTTGCAGGGGATACCAAAATTCTGACTTTTGTCTTAGTGCAGAATTCTGGGAAAATCAGTAAGACAATCACTCAAGCAGGAAATGACATTTTCAGGGGGAGTTCTGTACACCATCTGTGTATAGAAATCCTCCAGGTAACCATTATTTTACAGAAAATTACAGCACTGCAAATTGATAAGGAATTGCAATATGGCCTGGGTCACAATTGTATTTTTTTATTTGCTAATTTTTTTTTCCCACTTAAGTGGAGTTACCTTTTAACCACCTCCCGTCCGGCTGTTGTATATAAACGGCCGGACGGTGGCAGTGCAGGGTCGGGTGGCTGTTTATAAACGGCCTCCCCGCCCCCTGCTTGTGCGCGCTCCCTGGGAGCACGCAGCACCGCGATACGGTGCGCGCTGTGTCCTCCGGACACAGTGGAGACCCGATCGTCGTACGGGACTTCTGTGTGAGGTCCCGATCATGTGATCACTGATTGGTCAATCAGTGATCACATGCAGAGTAGTAAGCAAGATGTCACTTCTGACATCATTGCTTACTACGTGTGAAAATCTGTGAATGATCACAGAGGTCACATGGCACAAGGCCATTCACAACAGCCTTGTACCATGTGACAAGCTGTGACCAATCACAGCTCACACAGTAGTTCTCAATGGCTGCAAGAATGCAGCCAGAGAGAAGGAGAAATGATTGCTTTTTAAAGCCTTTATGGGTGTAAAAGCAATCAGCGTAAAAAGAAAAAAAAAATCTTCATCACCGACCACAAGTAGTACAGTGTCACCATGGAGACACTGCACTGCTAGGGTGACAGTATGTAAAAAAAAACAAAACCCATAAATAATAATATAAAAAAATAAAATAAAAATGTAAAAAAAGTTTAAATTTGGGTTTTTGTTTTTTTTTTTTACTAAAAAGATAACGAAATACATTTTGGCCAAGATTTATGATGAAATATTGTTTATTTGCAAAATTTTATAAGAAGAACAATTTTTTTCAACATTTTTGGACTTTTTCATTTACATAGCAAAAAAAAAAAATTCCAGTGGTGAATAAATACCGCTAAAATCAAGCTTTATCTATCTCAAAAAAATTCTAAAACATTCATATGGGTACACTGTTGTATGACCGCGCAATTGTCATTCAAAGTGTGATAGCGCTGAAAGCTGAAATTGGCCTGGACAGGAAGGGGGTAAAAGCGTCCGGACTTGAAGTGGTTAAAGCTGAAATTTAGCTCAAAATTATTTTAGCTAAAATTGTCCCAGGTCATGCAGGCAGTGTGACACAATCTCTGAATGCATGTAACACAATCTTTAAATGCATGTACAGGTAACACAATCACTGAATGGGGGAAAGTCTGATGAATGACCAAATTCTCTCCCCTTTGAGAGATCATGTTACATGTTTTGTAAGCAATGAAAGAATTCTGGCAAATGGAGGAGGGGGTGAGTCCCCATCAGGAGCTTTTTCTATTGAATTAAGTCTGGAGACCCAATGCTATTAACTGTTGCAGCACTAAAAGTTCAGAGCCAGGAAGAGGACCAGTACCCCTACAGTGAGGATCTTTCCAGGATCCAGCTGCCTGCATAGAATGGGACATGTTTTATTACAGGTAAGTTAGGTCACTGAAGCTCTAGAGGCAAAAAAACGTTTTTAATTTTGATTTTAGTGATTTGGAGATGTGTCCACATATTATTTCATAACTGCCATTAAAAGCCCTACCATGGGACAAATTATGAAATACAATCCACTGACAGTGGCCCTAATAACCATTGAGGCAGTCTTGTTGGATAGAAAAATGGAAAGTGGTAGGCCTTAGCCATGAAATCAGGGACAGTCGTGCCCCAATAATAAAGTGGCACTAAGCCAAAAAGAGGAACAGAAGAAGATTTTTTGGTTAACAAATGTAATAGCTCATGTGATTCACTAGAAAGTGGAAAAGTCTTTCATTGAAAGGTAGATATGGCTTCAAAGAAAGACATTTATTGTAATAAAGTATTACACAGTGCAACAGTGATAGTTATAAACACATCTGCCTCATTACCTTTCCTTAAATATTGGGTTACTTTATCAAATAATGAGTTACAATTTTCATACAGTACGTGAATACAAGTTATTCCATTAAAAAAAAAAAATGAAGTGAAAAGTTGTACTTGATTTTATGATTTACTCACAGTGAACCAATTATCTGCTTCCATTTCTCTGTACCTGAGCTGTCCAGTTCTATCCAGTCGAAATTTAAATACATTGGCTGACTGAGCTGCATATTGGATATGAGGTACTTGGCAGTTCACTAGAATTGAACATTTAATAAGTGTCAAGATAAACCACAAACTTTCCAAACCATAGAAAAGGTAAAACAACATACTCAATGAACATAGAACATTCAATGCTCCCAGCTAACTGCTTCCATTTAAGGAAGCACAACAGTGCAGCAGCCAGTAACAGGTAAAAACAGGTCTAGTAGCTATTGGAAGAGGGCAAGCCAGGACTGGTCACAGGGCACACTGGGCATTTACACAGTGGGCCAGGGCCGCCTGGATAGGAGGGGCAGTGGGGGCAGCATATAAAGGAATCGATTCATATATTTCCCTCTTGTCACTGCTGAATTGCCACTGCTCCTCTCTCTCCTGCAGGCATTCAGCTGCTGCAAGTGAGAAATGGAGGGATTGGTTCCTCTATAAGCTGCCCCGCCACCCCTTGTATCCATCTTCTTTCTGCTGCCCCTGTCCTCTTTCCTGGTTCCCCTATACTTTCTCCAGACCCCTGTGTGCTCTATCCCAGCCCCCCTTCCTCCCCCGTAGTGCTATCAGGTTCCCACCTCCCCTCTCCTGCCGGCTGCAGTGGGAGATCTGTGAGGATGGAGATATGTCATTTACCGCCAGCCCCTTCTTTGTCTGAATGGACAGTCAGAGATCAGTACCAATCACTGACTTTGTCCATTCATAACTGAAGCATAGTAAGCTGTGTTTACTATACTTCAGTTTATGAGTGGACAGGGAGCTCTGTACAGAGCTATTCCTGTCTATTAATTCTGTGCAGCTGAGGCTGCAGAGATAGAGATTGAGAGCTGTGTTCTAAATCTCCTTTCTTTGTCTCAAAGGTGAGATGTCAGGGGTCTCTTTAGATCCCTAATAGCTCACCAAAGCCCCCCAACGGGGGTCCAAAAAAATTGTAAAAAAAAATAATAAAAAAAATTGTAAAAAAAAAATAAAAGTAAAATGGTAAAAAAAAAACCCAAACTGCTGACACCCATAGAAGGACTACCAGGGTCACAAAGGTTGCACTTGCAACCGGGCCCTAGTGTTCCACTGCTGGGCTCCAAGGGAAGGGCCCCTGGGCTGGGGGGTGCTCAGTCTAAAATGCCTGGGCCTATGTTTTGTCCCAGTTCGGGCCTGGAAGAAAGATTATGCATAGTAGAAAATGGCTAGATGGATACTTGTGTTTAGGTAACACTTGAATATTTAGAATATGTCCCAAACAAGCTCCAGGCAGACACAAACACCAGCTGGCCAGCATTCGAAAAGAGGTGGCATGAAGTACGGTGGGGGGGTCCAACAGGCACAGGGTGGGATGTCTGCCAATGAAGTAAATTGCCTTACCCCTACAAAATTAGGGCTCCTTTATACCACCTAAGTTGAACTGAGTCAAGTATTTCCATTGCATGAACAAAGCAAAAAGTCCTGTTTTCTATAGTATCAGTTCACACCAATGTGTTGCAGTACCCATTAGATTTAAAAAATAACTGTGTTAAAATATAAAAAATAAAACTGTAACACAAAGCAATGTATGTCATGTGCGCTAAAAATGTAAAAATTGTGCTGACATGCCCCCTAGGGTGTGAATAATGTATTTTATTTTTTATTTTTTTCTTTCTACAAATACAGCACATTTAACATATGTTTAAGGTAAGGTTGAGAAGAAAATGCAGCAGAGTTTGAACACTGTATGCAGTTAAAAGAACAAGAGACACAAATAGACTAAAAAAATAAAAAAATATATATATATATATATATATATATATATATATATTTCAAACAGTAAGCCACACAATTATTGGTGGTGATGGGTTGCTCTTTTCCTTCTGAAGTATACTTGGTTGTATTAGAACAGCATAGTGTCCCTTTGTTCCTTTATGCTGTTATCTGTCCTATTGGTGATAATTGGCCCAGCATTCATTTTGCAACCACTGTCAACAGAACATCAATAGCCAATATGCAGGTATATTCTTCTTACCTGCCAATAACTCAAGCACCTTCAACTGTACAACCAAGTGCACATCTGTGTGTCAGGCTTTGATAGATAGACAGACAGACTATTAACCCTGTAAATGAAATACTGACCCCCAGGTATAATAGTGAAATTATTTGTCTTCACACAGTCATGTTTAGAGATTTGTCGAGATACCCAAATCTTGTTGACTAGCATGATGGCATCTGTGTTAAATTTGTACTTTGATATGTATTTTGAAGTTTCTCCTGCATCAAGCTCCACGCATCCAGAATCAATGTCGCTCCTTAATAAAACAAAGTACATTACTAGCTTATATCTTCACTATGATCAGCAATCGCATTCGGCACAGAAAAAAAAAATCTGTACTATCAAGCACGTGTAAATAATTTGAAAATATGTCTTATAAGTATGTACAATTGTAATGTCCAAATATATATATATATATATACACACTGATCGATCAACCATAACATTGTTTTATCTTGTTACAATTTCATATGAAAGTTGGTGGGATATATTAGGCAGCAAGTGAACATGTTGTACCTGAAGTTGATATGCTGAAAGTAGAAAAAATAGGTAATTGTAAGGATTTGAGCAATGATGACAAGGGCCAAATTGTAATGGCTAGATGACTGAGTCAGAGCATCTCCAAAACTGCAGCTCTTGATGAATGCTCCTGGTCTGCAGTGGTTGGCTGCCAAAAGTAGTCCAAGGAAGAAAAACTGGTGAACCGGCAACAGGATCATAGGTAGTCAAGGCTCCTTAATGCACACAGGGAGCGAAGGCTGGCCTGTGCAGCATGTTCCAATAAAAGGGCTAATAGCTCAAACTGCTGAACTAGATAGTTTCAACAGAAGGGTGACAGAACACACAGTACATTGCAATTTGTTGTGTATGCAGCTGTGTAGCCACAGACCGGTCATGGTGCCCATTCTGACCCATGTCCACAGCCAAAAGTGCCTACAATGGGCACATAAGCATCAGATTTGGACCACGGAGCAATGGAAGAAGGTGGCCTGGTCTGATTAATTCAAGAATGGTTTGAGGAACACAAATATTAAACTGGCCTTCAAATTCTCCAGATCTCAAATCTAATTGACCATCTGCAGGATGTGCTGGAGAAAACAAGTCCAAGGATCTACTACTGACAGCTTGGGGCCAGATACCACAGCATACCTTCAGAGATCTAGTGGAGTCCATACCTTGCTAGGTTATGGTGGCCATAAAGTTATGGCTGATCGGTATATAGTTAGTATAATAATCATAATACCCAAACATGACTGGATCTCTAAGTCTGGGGAAAAAGTACAATCCATTCCAGAGATGAACATATAGGTTAGAGTACTCTTTTTCAGAAAAGCATAAGTGGCCAGTGTGTTGCATTGCAGTGCATTAACAAATGTTCAGACATGCACCAGTTTCTTCTATCCCACATTACCAAAACACGTACAGTAGATCTGAATTGGCCCTAAAGCTTTAAACAATGCTGTCATTACCAGAAAAAAATTACTAGGCAGAAGCTTGTAAAAAAAAGTATACCTATCTGTCTAATGGGCAGCAAGCTCCAAACTGCTGCTGCTGGTATCCAACAATTCTGGGAGTTTTGAATGCTTAGTATCCTGCTGCTCACAGCCATCTACCGGCCCCTATGTTACTACTGTGCCCTGGCAGCCATAGCTCTGCCAGACAGCAAAGATTCATGACCCACTGGAGAAGTGAAGAATTCTACAAGCTGCTGCTAGTTTAATTTTTCATGTAGCATACGTGTCACAGTAATCTGTGACGTTGTTATAAGAATATCATCTAAAAATCGACTCACCACCACACTAGTTGTTGCTTGTACTCTTTTGATGGATGCGATTGATAAGGTAACCAAGAGCAAGTCACACCAGTAAAAACACTTTTTTGGAACATTGGATGACAAAAGATTCCATCTTGCCATTCTCTGTCTGTAAGTAGAGATTTACACCTTCAGATGCAGAAACCTTTATTTCTACATTTTTCCCTTGGTTCCTCAGAGTTCATGTTTTACAGCACATCATCTAAGTATTTGCTCAAAGAAAAAATAAAGATAACTCAGATTTGTTCATATTGTACAAACTTCAATTTACTTGTGTCCATAACAGTGACAATTGCAGTGTATTACCCCTCTCCAATGGCAAACAACATATTAATATTCTCTCAGCAAGTTCCCTGTGCCCAGGAGAACCATATCATTTCTGCTACTGGAGTGCTGAACCACGGCACCAGGCTTCAACTAGGCACCATTTGGCAGAACTGGGGCAATCATAGGGATCACTTTTAAAACTGAATTTCAGGTGTATTTTTGGCATAGTTACAATTTTCCTTCTTGGACCAATGTAAGTATACATATTACATACCTGTGAAAGTGGAGAATTACTGTAGTAACCACCACTACTACAGTGATCCTAGCTGTCTTCTGGATCCCATGCCAAGTGGGGCTCTCCTGGTGCACAGCAACCAAAAGGGATATCACATTTAGCATGGATGTCATTCAAAGAACAGCTTGCTTTTTTCTCAATAAATGGCGGGTGTTCTCTCTTTTGGACAAGGTGGAGAGGCAGGGAGCGAGCCAAAACCACACCAAAGGTCTTGACTTTCTAAATTTTTGGTGTCCTCTACATCTTCAGTTGTTAATTGCTGCTTGTGTTCTTGTTATATTGATTCACCATCACTATTTGTCTTGGTGACCCTTGTCACTGACACAGAGAGTGATGGGAAATCCAAAATTTTACAGTTGCCACTAGAACTCCTCTGTGGTGATGAAATGCATATGGAAGAGTTTAGCAGTGACATCATCACGTCTGCCTGATGAGCGGAAGTGCGTGGCTCTAATGACATATGGTTTTAGCTTATCACCTATGTGAGTATATTTCTCCCAAAATAAATTTGTTGTTGTTATGTATTACACCATGGAGTTCCTTTCATTCCCATGTAGCCCACCCTCTGGCTTAACCTGTTTGGAGTCTGGATGAGCTGAAAACTGGGATATATGATCCTGGCTGATCTTGGTTTATTTGAGCAATCTTAGACCTCTAACTACATGGGGTCTCAAATTCTGGTAAGCCACTATTGTGTGTAACTGGTGGTGGAACAAAGAGGCTGAGACATAGTAGACACATATTTTATTTGATGGACACTTCTTTCACGTGTGAAGCACAGCATGTTTGATTACATTTATATTTCTATTCTTATATTGTGCACTTTAATATGCACAGTTACTTCTAATTAATATATTATTCATGGCTAAAGGGACAGGGTCCTTTTCACTTTTATAAGATGTTCTCTCACTTCCCGTTTCATCTCAGGAACAGGAAGTAATGTGAAGGGAAATCTTCCCAACAGGACACAGCAAGAAAAAAAAAAAAAACAGATGCTATTAACCGCTTCTAGGAGCTTAAAAATTGCTAGTGCGCATGGAGCCTTACACTGTTTTTATTTTTTATTTTTAAAAACAGTCTTTAACATAATGTATGATGGAAGTAAGCTCCCACACTGTTTCCAAACCACCAGCAGTCTTTCCTCAAATCTCTACCAAGGGTTTCATATATCAAATATTCATTATATAAACTTTGACATGCATCCCCCTATGCGTGTCCATCCCCATCAGAGTGTATCCAAATGTAGCGCTACTCTCGTAGCAGCTGCAGGAATACTGCCCAGGTCTTCCCCAGTTACTTTGTGCTACAACTAGGACACATAGGCTCATTCACATGTTTCTCCAAAAACCAGTCTGTTGTTGTGTTTGTTGCTTTTATTTCTGAAGAACTTGGATAGGGATGAAGAAAATGAGTGGAATACTCCAAAAACAGGAACTATGTACACTTGAGGACTTTACTTAATCTTCTATGCCAGTGTCCGTGCTTGAATCAAACACTGGACTTCAGCTTTAAGGCAGTAGTAAGAAAGTAGTAGTAGTAGTAGTAACTTCTTTAGCGCCCCAGAGAAGTTGTCACATGCCTGGTGGGGGAGCCTGATGTGGAGATGAAGGTGTCTTCTTACACCTCCTGCTCAGTGCCCCTGATAGAGCAAACAGAAGGCACGAGAGCCAGGAGTGGCATGAGTCCCTGGCAGGTCTGTGATGTTAGCAGACAGGTGGGTAGTCCAGATGAACAGAATGCAGATTAGTTGAGGATGCAGGTCAGCAGGAGCAGTGGCTGGTAGGTTCTAGAAGGAACTTGGCAACTGCAGACAGCAGCAAGTGGTAGTCACAGGCTGGAGAAGTAGCAGAGTCAGATAAGCTGGGTCGGGATCTATCAGGTGGATCAGGTACAGACAAGCGGATAGTTGAAGTTCAGGCCAGAAATCAGAAACCATAGGCAGATAGCAGGGGAACAGGCAAAGGCGTAGTCCAAGGGTAAGCTAGGTCGGTGCAGGTGGAGTTCAAGCAATGTTAAGACAGGTCAGGTTGGCAACAGGATCAGGATACCACAGATAGCAGATAATGGAACGTGGTAGACCAGAAGGCAAGGACTCCTAGTGCAGTAGCGATTTAAATAGCCCGCATGGTGCTGGTCTGGTGGCAGGTGAACACGCATGTGCGAATGCGCACTGGCACAGGCACGGTTGTTGGGCAATTGGCATTGGCACATAAATGTGCGCCTGGGCATTCTCTGTTTTCCCTGACAGGAGTGTCCCTTAAAAGTAAGCCAGGTGGACAAAGCTCATTGGAACACCAACCAATGTTCCCTTTGCTAGACCGGTAGCTGACTCTCTAGCACCAGAGGGGGTTACACAGCACTCTGTCTTTAAGGTCCTTTAGGGATGTCTGTACTCACAAGACCCAAAAGCAACTAGATGTCTTCCTCTGTAATACCAGAACAGATCTTCAGTAGACAGCCCCTCAGCATTCATGCAGCCATTGAGAAATACTGTGCAAGCTGTGATTGGTCACAGCATGTCACATGGTACAAGGCTGTTGTGAATAGCCTTGCACCATGTGATCACTGTGATCATTCACAGATTTCACAAGTAGTAAGCAATGATGTCAGGAAGTGGCATCTTGTTTACTACTATTCATGTGATCACTGATTGGCCAATCAGGGATCACATGAATCGGGACCTCATACAAGCGATCTGTGTTTTCCTGTGGACACAGATCGCGGTGCTGCGCGCTCCCAGGGAGTGTGCCCAGGCAATGGATGCAGCGAGACGTTTAGAAATGTCCACACACTTCGGCAGCGCTCCCTTCAGGCTGTTTATCTACATGGGCCGGATGGGAAGTGGTTAAGGATATTAAGCAAAGGCAAGTAACAGGGTTTAGACAGACTGCACAGACAAACCAAGAGTGAAACAGGCCATGGGTCAGTGCCATAAGGACAGGAACAGGAAATTCGCTATGACTGGGGAAATAGCACCCTAGAGAGTGGATAACAAGAGCAAAGACTGAGACAAGGATACAAGACACAGGAATTGGGATCACACAAACACACACCATAGTATTGGAAATTTGAAAGCTGAGATTGGCAGTTAGGCTATAGTGCTGTTTTTTTTTTGTTTGTTTTTTTTAAAGAATTATAGAGCATATAGGAGGCATGTCTTTAGCTGCACCCATGCATGTGCACAGATCACCTGAACAAATACATAGGTCAGAGTCTTGTAAAACAGAAAGTGCTGCACTAATAAAATGATAAATACGTATATGAATGCCTGAGGTTTAACAGTAAACACATAAATTAATATAATCAGACCATAAATTATAAAGTCCAGGAGTGGTATAAAATTGTGTATAAAAGTTCAATAGTGCTCTTTACGAAGATGCAATTAGGAAGGTGACTCAGATATTCCCAATAAGGCATAAGTTCAGTGTCGTGCAGGAAATGATAAAATTGCGCACTCACCAGATGCACAATTAATAAGCGCAGAGGTCCCCTCTGTCCTGGAAAGGTGCAGCTTGCAGTGGATGGGCTTTCACTCAGGAATGGGCAATAGGATGACGCCTCTAAAAGTCTTCCCAAATTGTGGGCCCCCCGCACCGGAAGTACGTCAGCCTCGGTAGTGGTGGGAGGAGGCTGACGCACTTCCTTGCGGGGCGGAAGTGGAAGTCGATGCTGGAACTGAGAGAGCGGAGGAGGATCCGCATCGGGTCCAACCGTGCCGAGCGATCCATTGGTGACCATCCCTAAGGCCCAGAGGAGAGTGATTTAATTGCTGACCCCTACCAGAGCCCACAATTTGGGAAGACCTTTAGAGGCGTCATCCTACTGCCAATTACTGAGTGAAAGCCCATCCACTGCGAGCTGCACCTTTCCAGGACAGAGGGGACCTCTGGTTTTGATTACTGCGCTTATTAATTGCGCATCTGGTGAGTGCTCAATTTTATCATTTTTTGCATGACACTGAATTTATGCCTTATTGGAAATATCTGAGTCACCTTCCTAATTACATCTTCGTAAAGAGCACTATTGAACTTTTATACACAATTTTATACCACTACTGGACTTTATAATTTATGGTCTGATTATACTAATTTATGTGTTTAACATTGAACCTCAGGCATTCATATATGTATATATCATTTTATTAGCGCTGCACTTTCTGTTTTACAAGATTTAAAAGGGTTTTAAGGTTTCCTTTTAGTGCATTTTGCTGCTTCTATTTATTTTTTAGCACTCGCTGAATTACACTTTTATAGATTAGAGTCTGCTTGTGCTAGGACACAGAAACGTGATTTGTAGCAGTAAAAGCCAGACAGGACAAGAAAAGGAAGCAAGAAAGGAAACAGAGAAGCAGAAACAGGCATGGAGGACCGAAGGAATAGCAGCAAGTATAACAAGCAGGCACAGTGAGTAGGACACAAGTAGTTTGCTGACAAGTGCTTCTATTGTAAATTAATTCCTCCACAGTGGCTGCAACTTTAGGGGTCTGTGTGTGCTTATTTTAAAGCTTATCTACTGCTTGTTAAGAAAATGTAAATATCTAAATGTTCATAACCTGGCCAGAGTTCTATTTTAAGACCACTTGCCCTCCAGAGGATTTACTTCCCTTCCTGACCAGGCCAGTTTTTTTTTTATACAGCGTTGCGTTATTTTAACTGACAATTGCGCAGTCATACAATGCTGCACCCAAATGAAATGTATGTCCTTTTTTTCCCCACAAATAGAGCTTTTTTTTTTGTGGTATTTGATTGCATGTGTGTTCTTTTGCTTGTTGCACTATAAAAAAAAAAGACTGACAATTTTGAGAAAAAAAACTATATTTTTGACTTTTTGCTATTAAACATGTCCAGTAAAAAAAATTTTAAAAATCAGATTTCGTCATAAATTTTGGCAAAAATGTATTCTGCAACAAAACCCAATACGTGTAAAATAATTGGTTTATGTGAAAGTTATAGCGTTTACAAATGGCGGTGTATATATACTGGGATCTTTTTTTTTTTTTTTTTACTAGTAATGGCGGTGATCAGCAACTTATAGCAGGACTGCAGGACTGCGGCGGGCATTCTGACACTGAGGGGAACTGATTTGATGTCACTGACATCCCCAGTGACACCAATACAGTGATCAGTGCTAATAAAAAGCATTGACACTACTAATGGCACTGGACAGGAAGGGGTTAACATGTGGGGCAATCAAAGGGTTAACTGTGTGCTGTGTCTGTGTTTCAGTGTAAGCACACTGCTTTGTATGGTTCTGCTATGCAGAGCCATAACAAAGCAGTGTGCAGGAGCTGACAGGAGAGACATCTGTATTGTTTACATACAGGTCTCTTCCCCATCGGAGATACTCGGTGATCACCAGGTGCCGGCAAGTAATCATTGGCCGGGTGATTGACAGCCAAAGCAAATGGCGGAATGGGTAGGGTGTGTGCACAGCTCATGTGAGCCCCCTACTTGGATCTCCAAAATCACGTATATATATGTGATTTTGCGCAACCGTGCTGCCCTGTGGCAGTATTTCTGCTATAGGGCGAAGGGGAAGTAGTTAAACCATCTTACAATGAAAACATTATAAAACTTGGCAAGAAAGGAGTGTAGCATTTGTGTTTCATGATTCTAGACATGACAGAAACATGACATACAGTATACAACGGTTTATCTGGCAGAATTTTTGCCGAAATTCCATAACTATTTGAATGATAAATTACAGATAAAGTAATCCACAGAAAACAGAACACAAATTCACAAAAGGTCTCTGGCATTTGAAATCAAATTACTTACCTGGGGATTCATGACAATTTAGGGTGACAACACAATCCTCTGCAAGACCTGTGCACAGAAACAGAGACATACATGACATTATCATACCATTCTAGAGTTAGAACTGCAGGGATTATTGTTATGTACAGATCTAGTCATAGAGCAATGAGAGAGAGATCAATAAAATATTTTTATTACAATCATAGGATCTGCGTGGTTCTTTCCATCAGGACTGAAGAAATATAAGAGCCAAGAAGCCATTGTACCTAGAAATTTATCTGGATCTGGTGTTTGTTCTCTGTTTCCTATTTGCTGGCATGCAATATACTGGATTGGACAGACCAGCCACTGAAATCTGTGCACAATTCTGATTTAAGTAATACATACATAACAGAAAAAGCTAGGTTTCCACTCTGAGTCCTTGGTTCGAAACCTACCTGGATACTGTTTTCATAAAGTTTGTATATTTTTTCTGTGTTTGGTTGGATTTTCCCTGGGTGTTCCAGTTTCTTTTCACAATCCCAAAACATACTTGTAAGTTAACTAGCATTCACCTATATTGCTCTCCTGAGCCCTGCACTTTCTTTGTTACTCATTTCTGAACCTTCCACTCTCCATATTAAAGTGTTACTGAACCCACAATAGTAAAATCAGTCTGTATATGCAGTAAAACATGCTTGTTATACTCACTGTGGAACCTAAGGGCTTAATCGTCTGCATTATGTAAAAAGGATTTTTGATCCTGTCTTCTCTGATCTTCCCCTTCTTCTACTGTTCCCAATCCATCTACTGATAGAAGATAGCCTTGGGGGCAAGCTGCACATGCTCAGGACAATCAGAGAAGAATTAAAACTCCTCCTACAAACTTTAATCAGTGCTCTGCTGGACACTGATAGAAGTCGCAAGACTGCTCTGCAGCTGATGAGAAAAGGTATTAAAGGTATTTAGCAGTTTCTATTTATTAAAATAATTGCATTTCAATGTCCTGTGTACTGTGGGAGACCAGATATAGTGAATGCAGGGTCCTGAGTTTAGTAACACTTTAAATACTCCAGAGCACTCTCTGTATTAAACACTTTTAACTCCTGCACTCACATTCTGTGTTATGCACGCCTGAGCCCAGCACTCTCTGCATTACACCCTCCTAACTCCTGCACTCACAGTCTGTGTTATGCACTCCTGAGCCCAGCACTCTCTGCATTACAAACTCCTAACTCCTGCACTCACAGTCTGTGTTATGCACTCTCTGAGCCCAGAACTCTCTGCATTACACACTCCTAACTCCTGCACTCACAGTCTGTGTTATGCACTTCTGAGCCCAGCACTCTCTGCATTACACCCTCCTAACTCCTGCACTCACAGTCTGTGTTATGCACTTCTGAGCCCAGCACTCTCTGCATTACACCCTCCTAACTCCTGCACTCACACTCTGTGTTATGCACTTCTGAGCCCAGCACTCTCTGCATTACACCCTCCTAACTCCTGCACTCACAGTCTGTGTTATGCACTTCTGAGCCCAGAACTCTCTGCATTACACCTTCCTAACTCCTGCACTCACACTCTGTGTTATGCACTTCTGAGCCCAGCACTCTCTGCATTACACACTCCTAACTCCTGCACTCACAGTCTGTGTTATGCACTTCTGAGCCCAGCACTCTCTGCATTACACCCTCCTAACTCCTGCACTCACAGTCTGTGTTATGCACTCCTGAGCCCAGCACTCTCTGCATTACACCCTCCTAACTCCTGCACTCACACTCTGTGTTATGCACTCTCTGAGCCCAGCACTCTCTGCATTACACCCTCCTAACTCCTGCACTCACAG